TGTTTAAAGAACCAGTTTTGTAAATTAATAGAAGTGGAATTTGTGGCTTATATTTAAGGCTAAGAAATGTGATTTCTAAGTTCTTTGCAATTATAATAATTGAATTCATTTATCAACTTTGGAAAGGCACTTATCTTTTTGTCCTTTTTTTGTAACAATGTCTAAAATTAAAATTATTATTTTTTCTTTAAAATACTTTAATGTATTTGCTTTTATACTTTTTAAAACATACACTATTTTAAGGGCTTTATAGATGCTACCTCATTTAATCTTTATGGAAAATAATCTCACCCTGGCCGATTTGGCTCAGTGGTTAGAGCGATGCCCTGCAGACCTAAGGGTCGTAGGTTCAGTTCCCAGTCAAGGACATGTACCTGGGTTGCACATTCAATCCCCAGCCCTGGTCGGGGTTGTACAGGAAGCAACCAATCAGTGTGCCTCTCTCACATCAATGTTTCTCTCTCTCTTCTCTCTCTCCCTCTTCCTCCCTTCCTCCCTTCCACTCCATTTAAGAAAATCAGTGGAAAAATATCCTCAGGTGAGGATTAACCAAAAAACAAAACATAAAGAATCCAATAGCAATCTTTTTAGAATACCATTTGAAATGCTGACACCCAAATAATGATTAGATTAGAAAAACTTTAGATCTGTTTAAATACTGAGATTTTGATGACTTCGTAATTTTAAAGAAACTAATCAAATCCATGCTAATTTTTTATCCTTTTTACAAGTGGTGATTATTATCCAATAATGCTTTTAAAGAATGGAATATAAAGGATTTCATTTGTGTATTGCCATGCATAGTAGAATCCAGTCATGGTAGCAACTTGAAAATTCAGGTAACTCGTAAATTATAATTATTGGCATAGTTTGCCTTGGAAATTAGAATTAGCCAAAAGTTTGATACTTTATTTCTAGTGAATCAGAATCTCCTGGTATATAACTTATCCCTTCAGCCCATGGTTATTTCATGACCTGCTTGGTACCTTGAAGCTGCATTTGATCTCCCAACACAAATGGAAGGATCCACAAGAGCACGGTTACTAGGAAACAACGTACAAAGTGGAATGCTAGCTGTTCCTTAAAGGATGATTAAAGTAGTGGTTAGTAGAGAACTGCTGCCACTTGAAAATGAAAATGAGTTAGTTGCTGGGATTATAAATATACATTTATGTACTTATGTATCTTAATGGTGGTAACAAACATATAGAATTACATCTGTGATCAAAGCAGTCCAAATGGTGGGCATTTATCTAACAGGACACGAATAGGTTGGTAAGGCTTTAAACTGAGTTATATTGAGGGACAGTTGAAGTTGCTGGTGGGATGAGGCGAAGGTGAAAGCTGTGATAGTGGCATAGAACAAAACCCAATAAGTAGGATTGTTAAGGTGTCGGAATGCCACTAAACTGTAACAAAGAAAGAATGGACCAGGAGCCTCGCAGAGTGTTCTATGTTCAAGGATAAGTCGATTGATCATTTGGAATGGATGTTAGAGATGGAATTCTAACATTAAAGGAGTTATTGGGAGTGTCTTTCATAACTTCTGAGTGTGTTTTATGATTTTATAATTATTTGATCAAATTCTAAGCTTCCTAAATATATAGATAGTAACTAAATTGCTCACTATTAAGCTGGAGAGTTGCTGAATTGAATACAATAATTGATGTAGAAATTATTGGTACAGTTTTACGGATGTAATAAAACCAGTTAATCTAGATACCTGGATTCAAGGAACCATCATTTTATTTCTCAAATAATTCCTGTGAAAGTACTTATGGGTATACCTGTGACTGACACCACAGATGCAGGCTGGTAAGGCTGCTCCGTTGTGTACAAGCCTCATCCAGTAGGAATCGAGGCTGTTAAATATTTTGACCTACTAGTTGTTGAATTTTGTCCCTGGATATAACCAGGAAGGAAAATGACCTTATCTCATAAACAGGGTGATAGCTGGGCTGGGATTGGGAAGAGGTCTTTATATTCACATTTTAATGACCTAAATTATTTGTAATGTTACATGTTAAGTACATATTGACAGAAAATTATAATACACTACTCTTTAATTTAAATTGATTTTTAATTTCTAAATTATATTTAATTTCTCATTTTTGTTTTCCTAATAGTTTTACAACATTACAATATATAAGATGGCCCTGGCCAGTTTGGCCCAGTGGTTAGAGAATCAGCCCATAAACCAAAGGGTCTTGGGTTCAATTCCCCATCAAGAGCACATACTAAAAAAATTAAATTAAAAATAGCTTTAAACATATATATGTTTTCTAATATGACAGTCCAACGAAATACGATGTTTTATAAAATGTCTTTGCTTTAACTTCTCACATATTTTCAATTGATTTGAATAATGCGAGAAACTTCATGTTCTTACCATTTCATTTATAAATCTGTAGCTAAAAATAATCTGTAAAGGATAGCATTAAAAATGAAATATAAGGGAAATGAAATATCCAATAACGCCTTTAAATATAAGAGGGTTAATGTAACTCTTAAAGAACCTTCAGTCAGAATGATTGATGCAAAGTGAAAACTATTGTGGAATGTGCTTATTGAAGTAAAGTTTCCAGTTTATACTTTACCTGACTTGGGAATAAAATAAATGATCAGTAGTTTAGTTTGTGTTTAAATATACAGGCGCCTATTTGGGGGCTGGGTGTGTTATCCTGTTTGTTTCAGCAGATTACTCCTTAAAACATTAAGGATAAATTATCAATGTGTTTAAAAGCAGAACTTATAAGCTATCAATAGGTAACTTATTTTTGAAATATAAGTTTATTAGGACTTATACTTAATACAAATGGATTTATGAAATATTTTACGAACATAAAGTTCTGCAGAAAGCTAATGTTTTGACTTGTAGTCATAATATGACACTGAGTTGCTCTTAAATGACTTTGAGAGAGAATTCTGAAACTTGAAGTCTCTTCTTCCTCCTCCTTTTAGACTAATTCAAGTACCAAAATGAGATGAAAATATAATTGAACTCTGGTCAAGATTATATTATCAATTCCCAATTTGAAGGCTAATCCCTTCCTTTTGCTCCAAAAACATAGAAATAACAAGAGAACATTAAAACACATAGCCACATGCCAAAATGAAATTGATATTTCTCAGAGCAGAAATAGAAAAAGAAGAAGCAGAGAGCAGAGTCTGAAGCACTGAGCCTGTGGGGAGCTTCATGTCTGGAAGGAGGCAGGAGCGGCTGGGAGCTTAGATACTGCAGGGTATACAGCACCCAAGGTGCCCAGGTGGGAGGCAGCATACTGGTGCTAGGTTCCCTGCTAGAAATTGGGAACTGGGATAGAGCTTTTATTGAAAAGAACCTGAACAAAGATGTTTATAATGACTCTTAAGTTTTATGGCTAGGGAGGTGGGAGGGCATAGAACCAGCCTCACAGTGGTACTATGAACTAAACAGATTCTGTCTTGGTCACAGACCCTGCCCTTGCTGTCTTCAATGTGATCGCAGGACAGGAGCCCTGAGCCACCAGTTTTGATGCCTACTTTCAGACTAGGAAGTTTCAGACTCTAGGAAACCACTGCATGATCTATAGATTGGGGCGCATTAAAGCCATATTATGTGAGCCTGCATAACCAAAATTCCAAAATACACGCTGAAATATAAGAAAGACCACCAGCGTAGTCATGATCATAATTAAGGTAAATTTATCCAAACAGAATTGAAAATTAATAGAATCATTTTGAAAATACTCTATTTTTAGTATCCTCAAAGATAAATGAAGGAATGGTATTCATAAAGAAGAATAAATAATTATGAAATAAAAACAAGAAATGAAACAATGTGACAGAGTACTAATTAGAAAACTTAATAATGAAAAATATAGTAATTGAATGCTCAATAAACATAAATTTTTTTTGGTATGTGCCCCTAGCGGGAACCGATCCCAGGACTCTCTGGTCCGCAGACCAACGCTACAACTGCTGAGCCAAATTGGCCAGGGCTAAACACACATTTTAAACTGGGCACTATCAAAGCGGGTTACATTGAAAGCCCCATCACACCGTTTTATAATTTTTGCTTCAACTGGCAAACAATTTAGAAAACTCAAGAAGAAAAGGAAAGTCCATTATATTTACATATATTTTTGCTTTTCTTCCAAGAGAGTTGTTGATTGTCTACTTTGAGTTTTGCTGTCTTATGTTCAGTTTTGCTGTTTTATGTTCAGATTCTCAAACTATTGACTCTGAGGAAACAGAAACAAAACAATTGGCTCTTTATCTGTGAATCCTAAAGATTGAAATGACCAAAAAAAAAATGAAGTCATATTCTGAATTACACACTTTTATTGGAATTGGTAAAGACCCTACCACCACTTTATATTATGGAAGTCTAATGATTTAGGGTGACACAGTGATGAGAATATGAATAAGGATTTATTAAATGAGAGGCTAAGCAAGCTCCAAATTTCCTTCTATATTGGTGAGTCTATAATTTATTATAGGAAATTCCCAAATATCACTGTGTAATTTCAAAAAAATTAACAAGTCCTTTAGTAACTGATAAATCTAAATCTTTTTTTATTATTATATTTTTGTTAATCCTTACCCAAGGATATTTTTTTATTGATTTTTTTTTTAGGTAGAGTGAAACGGAGGGAGGGAGGGAAGAAAGAGAGAGAGAGAGAGAAACATCGATGTGAAAGAGACACATCGATTGGTTGCCTCCTGCACAATCTCAGCCGGAGCTGGGGATCGAACCTGCAACCCAGGTACTTGCCCCTGACTGGAATGGAACCTGCGACGCTTCAGTCCTCAGGCTAACACTCTAACCATTGACCCAAACCAGGCAGGGCCAGGTAAACATAATTCTAAAAATTCTTGCAAAAATTTTCTTGAAAGACTTATTCTGCATGATCTTTCCAGTGCTGTTAACAATTTTTGAGCAATTGTTCTCATTCAAATTAATTCTGTGTCAAGGAGAAAAACACTGACTCGGTGTGGGGATTTTCTTTCTTTATCAGGCACAAGACCTAAATGTCATTGAAGAAGTGATTCGAATGATGTTAGAGATCATCAATTCCTGCCTGACAAATTCTCTTCATCACAATCCAAACTTGGTGTATGCACTGCTTTACAAACGAGATCTCTTTGAGCAATTTCGAACTCATCCTTCATTCCAGGATATAATGCAAAATATCGATCTGGTAAGTGAAGATGGAGATGTTTATCATGATTCTTTTTTAAGTGTTAAAGTAGAGGAGTTTAACAAACCTTGATAAAACTGTAATGGAATCTCTTTAACATTAACTATATTTGCCCTCTATTCTGCTATAGCAGTTGTTGCTTTCTTTGTGTGTATGTCTTATATACACAGACATATATATACACACATATATACTTTACTTAACATTTAGATCATTCATTAACATTTTTCTGTAATATCAAATCTTTGAAAATCTCACATTTTAATATCTAGATTATGGATGTCCTAAAATAGATTTAACTACTATCCCAAATAAAAGACCCAGCATGCTGAGAGAGGGTTTCCAGGTGATTTTAACACATCCAAGCCTAAGAATCATTATCTTAGATAATGATTACATATTTGCATAGAGCTTTATCATTGTGAGTTATTTGAATATATACAACCTCATTCGACCCTTCAGCCATCCTTGTGAGGAAAGCAAAGCAGAGCATGAGAGGAAAAAGGTTGGTTCAAGGTCACTTAGCTAGTAAGTCACTCAGGCCTTGAATCCAGGTCTTCTCATTATAAACTCCATGCTTTCAGCATTCACTTGGATAAACTTAAGTATGATGCCAAATGAGCAGGCTTTCCAACAACTTTTTTTTTTTTTTTATCCTCGCCCGAGGACATTTTTTCTATTTTTTTTGTTCAGATAGAGTGGGAGGGAGAGAGAGAGAGAGAGAGAAACATCGACGTGAAAGGGACACGTGGAGTGGCTGCCACCCACACGACCCAACCAGGGCCGGGGACAAACTGCAACCGAGGTACGTGCCCCTAGCGGGAACCGAACCCGGGTCTCTCAGGACCGCAGGCCGACGCTCTAACCACTGAGCCAAACCGGCCAGGGCCCAACAACTTTTTTTTGAATACTGCCATCCAACATAGTACTGGGCACACTAGAAATCTATTCAAAAAGATTTTTAACTCTTTTTTGCATGTTTGGAAAAAAGTGCCACGGTAGAGATATAGTAACATCTCTACTTTTTGCCTCTTTCAGCACTTCACCTTCCCCTTCTCTCCCCTAAATGCCCCTGAAATTTTGGCTTAAGCAAGTTTTTACTATTTCTTCTTTCATGAAGTTAACCTTGAAAAGGATTGGGAGAGGACACTATGAATCTACTGTTATTTTTAGCTGACAGGGAGTTGAGAATTGATATTTTTCATTAAGACATTCAGCAATGTTGAATATCTGCGACAAGAGTGACTAACCTTGGAGCACTTTTAACTTCTTCAGGAGTTAGAATGTGTTATTCAAGTGGCCAGATTTCTATTAGCCATTGGTATGTACCCCTCCTATCTCACTCATAAAATGAAATGATCTGGCTGAATTAGACAGCAAGACAAAATAGAATTACCTCACTAAACAAAGAATGTGAAAGAGATTTCATTGCTGAATATACGTAGAGAACAAAGGCAGTGAACAATAATAGTTGTGTAGTATGGTAAAGGCAAGAACTATTTTTATCTCTGTACAGTGTAAAATTCATGTTAGATTTTGTGTATTTCCGGACCTGACCATCCTTAATTGAACTCCAAACTAGTCTGTTCAGTTGCCAGTATGACAGTCCCACAAATGATGAACAAGGTTAAATTCTTCATTTTCTTTTAAAAAAGTAAACAGAAATTTAGTCTTTTTCTTCTGTAGTCTTTTTTATTTCAATAAATGACATTAATATCTACCTACTTGCTTAAGCCCCCTTCTCCCCCAAAAAAGGAGGAGGAGGAGGAATAATTAGTGCTAGTTGAAATAAGGGTGGGACATTGCAAACCTAAAGAGTACAGTCAGAGAAGACCTTTCTGAGAATCTGCATTTGAGCTGAGACTTAAAGGAGATGAAGAGTGAGCCATGCAGATATCTGGGGTAAGAATGTTCCAGGCACAGAAAACTTAGGGGTAGGATGGAGGCAGGTCTGTGTCTCCCTCTGAAGAAAGATAGGTATGCTTACTGACATTTAGAAAAGATCTGGGCTCCTAAGTATAGAGTTCTGTTCCTATAATATAACCCACTACATGTGCAAAGGTCACTTGGCTCTCTTCAAATCACACTTGTGCAAATTGGGGTTTGGGGAACCAGTGAAAAAGATGCTAATGCTCTCATTACTGCTATTCCTTTGACTAACAAACTGTTCTTTATGACTGACCCAGAAATCTCCTTCCAGGATTCTTGAAACTGTGACTGACTAACTTGTTAACTTGCAAGTAGGGTAACATTTCAGACTCTTCACAACTCTCGACAATGTGAAATATGTTATATTATTATTTGAAGGTAGATTGATAAAATAAAGATGTATATTATAAACTCTAGGCCAACCACACAAAAAGAAATGGAGATATAACTAAATAAAATAGATCCATAAGTTATACTCAATCCAAAGGCAGGCAGGAAAAGCAGAATAAAAAATAGTGAACAAATAGAAAATAATAAGTAATGTAGTAGATTTAAATCCAACCATGTCAGTAATTAAATTCCTCAAAAGACAGCCCTGGATGTTTTGGCTCAGTAGTTAGAGCATCGGCCTGCAGACCAGAGAGGCCCAGGTTCGGTTCCTGCTAGGGGCACGTACCTCAGTTGCAGTTTTTCCCTGGCCCCTGTTGAAGTCGTGTGGGTGGCGACCACGCAATGTGTCTCTCTCACATCAGTGGTTCTCTCTCTGTCTCTCCCTCCCACTCTGTCTCAAGATGAATGCAAATAAATAAATGAGTACATTTAAAAAGAAAAAAAAATACCTCAAAAGGCAGAGATTTTCAAATTAGATTGAAAAGTAGTATCTAATCATATACTGTCTATAAGTGACTTGTTTAAAAATAAAGGCATAGATAGCTTAAAAAGTAAAAAGATGAAAGAAGTTTTACCATGCAAATGCTAATTGAAAGAAAGCTGGACCAGCCTGGCCAGTATGACTCAGTGGTTGAGCATCGACCCATGCACCAAGAGGTTGCCAGTTCGATTCCCTGGTCAGGGTACATGTCCAGGTTGCGGGCCCAATCCCCAGTGGGGGGCATGCAGGAGGCGGCCAATCTGTGTTCTTTCTCATTGATGTTTCTATCTCCTCCTCTTCCTTCCTCTCTCTAAAATCAATGAAAAATTTTTTTAAAAAAGAAAGCTGGAGCCCTGACTGGTTTGGATCAGCAATTAGCGTTGGTCTATGGACTAAAGTGTGGTGGGTTCAATTCCCAGTCAAGGGCATGTGCCTGGGTTGCAGGTTGGATCCCTGGTCAGGGTCGTGCAGGAGGCATCCAATCGATGTGTCTGTCTCACATCAATGTCTCTCTCTCTCTCTCTCTCTCTCCCTCCCTCCCTCCCTCCCTCCCTCCCTCCCTCCCTCCTTCCACTCTATCTAGAACTCAATGGAAAAATATCCTTGGGTGAGGATTAACAAAAATAACAGTAAAAAAGAAAGCTGAAGTGATTATAACATAAACTTTGGGCCCTGGTTAGTGTGGATTAGTTGGTTGAGCATTGTCCCATGCATCAAAAGATTGCCGGTTTAATTCCCAGTCAGGACACACACCCAGGTTGTGGGCTCGATTCTCGGTAGGGGGCATGCAAGAGGCAGCTGATCAATGTTCTGCTCTCACATCAATGTCTCTCTCTTTTTTTTTTTTCTTTATTTTCCTATTGATATAAAATTTAATTTTTCTCCAATTCTGGCTTAGGGATGTTTCTCTTTTTCTCTTCCTCTCCCTTCCCCTGTCTCTAAAAAATCAATAAAAATACATATTTTTTTAAAGCAAACTTTGGAATAAGGAATATTATCAGAGATAGAGGGACACCATGTAAACATAAAGAGATAAGCCAGAGAATTTATATGCATATGTGCATCACCAATGGACATAGACAACAATGCTTAGGCGGGGACAGGATCGGGAGGAAGGTATCTATGGGGAAAAAAGGAGAAACATCTGTAACAAAAATTAATTAAAAAAAAAAAAAACAAGATAAAGGGGTCAATTCACCAAGAAGACATAACAATTTTAAGTGTGGATGTACCTAATAAGAGAGCTTCAAACTACGTGAAGCAAAAACTGATGGAATTGCAAGGAGAAATAGACAAAAGCATAATTATAATTGGAGAAGTCAACACTTCTTTCCCAGTAGCTGATATAATAAGTAGACAAAATTAGTAACAATACAGAAGACCCAAACAATACTACCAACCAATGTGATTTAATTGACATTTATGGAACATTCTACCCAACATCACAACTGCACATGGACCATTCACCGAGATAGACCATATTTGAGGCCATAAAACAAATGTCAAAAAATTTAAAAGACTTGAAATCATATTATTTGACCAGAGTGAAATTAAACTAGAAATCAATAAGAAGATATCTGGAAAATACCCCAAATGTTTGGAAATCCAACAGTACACCTATGGGTGAAAGAGAGGAGGTCAGAAAGGAAATAAAACATATTTTAAAGTTAGCAAAAAATGAAAATGCAGTACATCAAAATTTGTGGGATACAGCTAAAACTTTGAGGGTAATTTACAGTAGTAAATGTTTCTATTAGAAGAGAAGTCTTAAATCGATGGTAAGATTCCACATTAAGAAACTAGAAAAAGCCCTAGCCAGTTTGGCTCAGTGGTTAGAGCGTTGGCCTGCGGTCCTGAGAGACCCTGGTTCAGTTCCCGCTAAGGGCGCATACCTCGGTTGCAGTTTGTCCCCGGCCCTGGTCGGTTGTGCGGGTGGCAGCCACTCGATGTGTTCCTTTCACATCGATGTTTCTCTCTCTCTCTCTCTGTTCCTCTCTCTCCCTCCCACTCTACCTGAACAAAAAATGGGAAAATGTCCTTGGGTGAGGATAAAAAAAAAAAGAAACTAGAAAAAGAGGAATATACCCTAAGAAGCCTGAAACACCAATCAGAAAGAATATATGTACCCCCATGTTTGTAGCAGCACTATTTACAATAGCTAAGATCTGGTACACATACACAATGGAGTACTATGCAGCTG